TTTATTTGCTTCTTTTTTCCGTATTGTCTTTTTTCATTTTTGTTTTCCGTAATCATTAGTTTTCAAATTCGAATTTAGCCTTTGAAATTTCAAAAAAAACAATTGCTGCATCTTTGATTTAAACTGATAAGAATAATTTAAGCAAATAGATCAAATATGAAAGGAAGGAAAAAAATATTGCTAATTTTCAGGGACAAATGTGATGAACAAACTCAGATGAGCGATATATACGCATATATGTTACATTTATATACAAATACATGGATATTGTACGAATAATGACATCATGGAATTTAATTGAAACGATCACTGAAAAATTCAATCTCTTTTTTTGCTATCTCCCTGTTTCCTTTTTTTTATTTTTCTTCATTGTCTTCATCTTCGTTTAAATGATGGAAATTATAAAAAGTCATCTTTCCATTCGTTAACAAATTGTATTTGTACACATGCAGTATGCATTATTGCAATTAATTACTACCAATTAATTATCACTAATATTTTTACAACTATTACTTCTACAATTATTATCATTATCATTGTATTATTACTACTACCATCATTACAATAATTTTTAAATATTGCTGTCGTTTTTGTTTGAATATAATAATTGATAATAGTGAAGGAGAAAAAATACTAAGCATTACTACTACCGCTACTAATTACTATTATCGTTGTCATTATTACTTGTTATGATCTTTTTCAACGATCATCGTGTACAATTAAACAGTAAATGTACATCAAAACAACAACAGTATGAAATTAATTTTCATATCAAATCTCTTGTAATTGTTACTTGTCCAAATTTGAGTATATTTTTATGGATGATATTCTCGGCAATAATTTTAACCACAAATGCTGCATGTTCATATAAGGTATTTTAAAGTATTTATTGATCATAATTAATTATTATTGTCATTAGTTTAATATTGATTTTGAATTTTTGCTAAAAAATTTTGTGAAAGAAAAAAACAATTGGTTAATATTACTGGAATGAAAATAAAGTAAATTATTATATGAAATTAGATTAATTAATGTTGTAAATAATTAAAAAGAGAATTATTATTAACTATAATGTTATTGATGATTAAAGAAAAATTAATTACAGATTATGATCTAAATTATTATTGAGTATTTTCAAAATTTCAACTTTTTCCTTTCATAGGTACCAAATGTCGATGATATTGTCTTTGATGTACCACTTGATGCTGATTTCGCGGACACTGATATGGATGAAGGTGGTAATGGTAGATTTCGGAAGACACGTAACGTAAATAACGTAAATAGTGTAAATAACGATATCTTCCAACCATTAAGGATTCATCTTTATTATGATAAAATTAGCATTGACAAGTAAGATATATTGATGAACTTTATAAAGATCATTCCCAAATCATTCGAGAATTACTGTATTATCAAATTGTGAATCAATTAAAATTCATTAGGGTTAATTAAGATCAAGCAGTTGTACCTCCGTCGGCAGTTGTACTTCATTAGCCATGTCTTCTTGCGATTTACTTTTAAAGTTTTAGAAATACGCTTTATCATTCAATAATACTTGGCAACTTTAAAGCTTAAAAATGGGCTATTATATCAAGTAATTTCATGTTTTCAAGTTGAATACATTATGAAATTTGAAGAAGGAAAAGAAAACTGATTTCTATGAAATAATTTGTTATTGAAAAAAGAAAATCTGAACATCTTTCACTTCATTCATCAAAAAATTGAAATGAACAAAAGTAAAAAAATTCATTATTCCAATTTATTATCATATTTGATTTCAGATTAACAACAAACGTACAATTTTTTGTAAATGTAAGTTTTGAAATTAACCCAGTATTTGCTGTTTACGGTATTTTTTTGGTTATCTCACATTTTTTCATTGTTATCACACTACTTCAATTACCTTTTTCGTATTATTTTCGAAATTTCAATCTTTCTCGAAGCAAAAGTTCCATAGGTCTGTAGATTTCTTTATTGATGTCAATTTTGATGAACGCAAAGATAATAATTGAAATTTTAAAAAGTTTTAATGTATAAAGTAGGAATAACATACACACTTTAAGAATATTTAATTTTTTTTAAATCTAAATTTTTCTTGACGAAAAAATCATATATTTTTTTTTGTTATTTGCTAGAGTAGTGCCACTATTATATCTATTATATTAAGAAATTTAAATGGGTCTGTCATTTTCAACATAAAATCTCGAAAGCATGTAGTCAATAAAAGGGGGAATTATTGGGATTGAGTAGGAGTGGGAGAATCTTTTCATTCTTTCTTGTCCTCATTTTGTACGGTCTTTTTTTCAGCACTTACAAGTTCTCAACACAAATGGAAAAAAAGGTCATTTAGTAGAAGTTCATGCTTTTAAAAAAATGAACTTTTTTTTGCAATCAATTATTTGAAAAAAAATGAACTTTTTTGCATCAATTATTTGTGACATATTATCAGAAAGCTTTACAATTTGTTATTTCTTTTAATATATATTCACTACTAAAATTTGACATTAATTAAATCGTAAGTTAGGAAAATTTTCCGATTTATTATAAAGTGCAATTTATTTTCCGATAATGAATCGATGAAAAGATTTACGACAATTTTATGGTTTTAAAAGCAAAATTATATAATTATATAATTTGGTATAGAACGAATGATGACAGAACATAATTGAAATGAATTTGAAATAGAAGACGATAAATATACATCGCTTTGGTTAACAATAACAATATAACAAATGAAATAAATTTAAAAATATAAATAAAATTTTTAACCAATACATTATGCTGCAAACAATATTTGAAAATAAATTGAGATTTTTATTTCGAAACAATTTATAAAGATAGTTTGTAATAATCTTATAAAGTTTTATAGAGAAAAATTTACCATAATTGCGAAAATTTTATGAAGACAAAGATAAGATTTTCTTATTCTGTAGAAGTTATTTAAAGTGTAGTTCATCTTCAGATATTGTTTGCAATATGATTAATTATTCCAGTATATTTATTTTCCAGACATCTTTACTGCCGGAAGCAGTAAATTATTGGCAAGCTGCATTAGCAGTACGTCCAACAGCTATACCAATACGACTTTATAGGTAGATTACTTTATTTATTTTCAAAAAATTAAAGGGAAGCTGTAATTTGAATAAATCAAAATTACCTTTAGAATAACCTTAAATGCATAAATATTTGTGGAATATTTACTGGAGATGAATGTATGCATTAATTGAAATTCAGAATGGAATAAAAAAAAATGATTAAATTTGAAAAGAAAAAAGAAAGGAAGAAATGAAACACATTATTTGGCTTTTTCTTTCATTCTCTATTGGAGATTTTTTTCTTTTTTGCTAAATGTTTATTCTATGAATAATTCACGAAATTCAAGAATTAATGAAGGATTAAAAATGAGTGGTAATTTCCGTCATCACTGTGATATCATATCAGCTTTTATGATAATCTGATCAACAATACTATCATTAATGATAAAAATTGACATTTGATCATGTAGGATGTAATAAAAATAATTTCATATTTAAAGCATGAATTAATATTAAAGTAAAAAATTCCAAATGTTCAGCATAGCATCAAAAATTGTACAACAAATTACCAATTGAAAAATTGAAAATGAAAAAGGAAAGATTGAGATGAACTATGTAATCAAATCAGAAATGAAAAAGAAAATTGAATTGTTTGAAAACTGAAATTAAAAGGATAAAATAAAAAAGACGTTGCAAAACGATATTTGATTTTTAGAAAATGTGAATCAAATTTATATTATATGCGTGTATATGAAAAACGGCAATCATGTGTGCTAGGCTGTAAAAAAGAGACAAGTTGCGGTGAAGTAATCATTCCAGATGAACATTTATATGTAAGTTTGTTATACTTATACAACTGAAGCATCAACTGGTAAAATTTGATTACATCTGATAAGGTTTAATTATTCAACTGATAAGGTTTGATTCTTCGACTAATAAAATTAATTTTGGACGTAAACAAAGCATTCTCACAATAAAGTATTATTATGATTAATTTTACTATTTCTTATAATGGTATAATCATTATCACTACATTATACTATTTCTTATCATTTCATTATAATATTATATTGGAAAATTTCATCATTTCTCGAAAAAATGATCGTTTGATGTAAAAGTTATGTATATGATCAAACTGTTGACAGTAACATTAATAATAAAATATCACATTTTTTTCTAAAATCAGTTTAATCATTTCTAAAATTTATCACTTGTTTGTTTGCTTGTTTTTATTTTGATAAGAAAAAAATTATATTTCAGACTTATTCATTACTTAACTAATTATGGCACCTTAATGCTTATTATTTTTAGCAATGTCGATATTGTACATCACCAGAATCCCAAAATTGTGGTTTTAATGGACCTCCCGATGGAGTTGGTGTACCAAACACTGATTTTCTCCTTTATGTTTCTGCGGTATTATCAGAACGTTGCAAAAATGTTGATACAGTGGCATATGCAGCACACTGCCAACAAGAAGCTGATCTCGATAGGTTCGATCCTTTCACTTTCTCCTTAATTAATTTAAGCAGTTAATCATTTAGCAGCGGAAAAATTAAAAGGAACAGGGAGTTAGAAATATTATCTATTCGAAATAATGTTATTCGAAATAATTATTCGAAATAAATCTATTCGAAATAATTAAAGTAAGTTAGAAAAAGTTTCGAAATGATATTATCTATTCGAAATAATGTTACAATGAAATTGGATGGAATTATGAGAGGAAGAGGAAGAGCTAAATAACGATTTCATCTTTTTTTTCCTTATTTTTGTTCTACTTTCCTATTTCTATTTTCAAATTTTTTTTTTTTTAAATTACAGACCGATTGCTGGACATGTTAATTTATGTCCAAATGCGCTTTCAACTGCATTACACGATCGTGAAGTGTTACTTTCAACGGTAAAACATGAAATTTTGCATGCTTTGGGATTTTCCGCCGGATTATATGCATTCTTTCGGGATGATAATGGAAATCCACGAACACGACGAAATCGTTACAATAAACCGATTTCGTTGAATAAGGACCGCAGCTACTATAATTGGGATCCAAGCACCATTCAGACAATCATACGTAATGATTGGTGGACAGCAGAAGGAATGGTACGCATTAAATAAACAATCATGGGATCACAAAGTTGCATGATAGCATAGATCAAGATGACATAACCATGTATGATTAATTAATTACACAATAGAAATGATGTATGAGTGGACTAACAGAAGATACTTTGCTTGAGAAAGAAGGAGAGGGAGAAGATTCAGTTTTTATAGGTACCACATCCAGTACACGTGATGGTGACACCTCGTGTACAACAAGAAGCTCGACAGCATTTCAATTGTTTAGATTTGGAAGGAGCTGAGCTGGAAAATCAAGGTGGTGATGGTACCGCGTTTACACATTGGGAAAAGCGTCTTTTCGAAGTAAATTCATGGATGTGAAATGTTCTGCACATTGAAAATTTAAATTCAAAGAAATAATAATTACAAAATTGAAATTTTTTATACTGTTTTTGTTTGCAGTAATTGAATGGGATTTTCAATGTTTAATATTTTAAGTTTCTTTGCATGTTTATAAATTAACGTTTTCTAGTTTTAAATTTTCGAAGAGGTCGTAAATCCTTTTTTATTAATGTTTTAATGTGAAATTTACTTCTTCGTAGCTTGAGTATGGTGCAAAATTCTCGGACCTATGAGTTTTCAGTTGGTAATTTTGGAAGGCTGATACCGTATCTCTTAAAAATATGACTTGCAGTAATAGTAATGCTCGAAATCAGCCAATTTACATAAGTACTACTCTAATTAACACTTCAGAATGAAGCAATGACGGGTACTCATACGCAAAATCCGGTATACTCTCGGTTAACATTTGCACTTTTAGAGGACAGTGGGTGGTACAAAGCGAATTACAGGTTAAATTTTGTTGGTTGAAATATCAGTGCAACATGAAAATATTAATTAATAGGAACATACAATCAGAATTTCGGGTTATAATTGAAAAGTTTCATACCACGTTAGCATGCTCAAAAGCCTTTAATGTTTATGAATTAGGAATGCATTTTGAAAATTTTATTCTGATTCAAAAACTTTAAATCTCAATTTTTTTGTCTTGGATTGCTTTTTTTTAAAGACATAAATACCTTTAGTGGTGTACTATTAGCTGTAAAGAGGCACAAAGATTTTGAAGTTGAAAATTTTAGTGCAGCTGAAGAACTTCATTGGGGTCATCATCTTGGTTGTGAGTTTGCGAGAAAAAGTTGTGGTGAATGGATCCGAAATCGACGAGAAAAGTGAGTCTTCCGAATGAGAAGTATAGTGCGTCTCTTTTTTTTGGATGTTTTTCGAGGATTACCTGACGAAGTCGAAGATTCTAATAATTTTTGCACTCTTGAATTCGCTTCTTGGTTCCTTACCACTGCTGAATAGTTTTTTTCTTTTCTCTTAAAATTCATAACGTTGCATTTTTTATTCTTGCAAAAAATTGTTGCAGATTTCTTTTGTCATTTCGAAGATATGAGAAGTAAAACTTAGATGTAAAGTTTTGACGAACACTTTTAATTTTCCTTCGTCTCACTTTTAACTCACATATAAAGAATTTTTGAAAGAACCGTTTTGTTTATTATTTTATAAAAGTCACATAAATTTTATTTTAAAAATATTTTACTTTCAGAAATCTTTTGCTAGCACCATTTTGTGATGAAATTAAACATGATGGAAAACGTTCACTGGCGACAACACGATGCACAACGCAGCGAGATTCATTGGCTTTGTGCAATTTGGTACGTTTATTTTGTTTGCCAGAAAAAATCAACTAATTATAAAGAAAAAATAAAGAAGAAATCAACAACCCTTGCATGGATCTATTAACAGTGTGGCTAAATTCAGTTAATGGATTCGATTTTGCGTTGAAATTCAGTTTTAATTCTATAGTAATTTGTATATGAGGTTTTGCAAATGAAACCAAGAATTAGCTCTTTGTTTTAAATTTTTTCGTAAAGATAAAGTCATCTGTGGGATCCCGGTTTAAATCTACGATGAGTTTGATTATTGGAACTTGTTACATATAATTCTAATTTTAGATACCTTACCAAAAGCCACTTCCACTGGAATATCGTAATTTTGCTTTCTTGGATGAAGTACAAGATGATAGCGCCATATATTATGGTGGATCTGTGGAGCTCGCCGATTATTGTCCGTATAATCAGGTTTGCCCATTATTTTTTGCTACCTAGTTTATTATTTAGGATTAATTCTCGTTGGCTATCTGTCATTTTCCTCGCAGCTTGCTTTTAGATTTTCCTCTTGAAAAAGATTTAAAAATTTTGAAATTTGGTGAGACTCTGAATTAATAGCCGAATGTCTTATACATAATTTTGTTGAGAAATTTACAATTCTAGTGCGTACTAAATATGAAACTAAGCACTGTTCTTTTCGAGTTTTCTTTTTTGTCAAATAATAATAATGTTTGGTGGTTTCTTTCCCTAATAAATAAAATTAGGATTAATCATTTTTGATGCGGTCAGTTATATATATATATATATATATATACAGGAGTTTGAATGGAAGGCACTAAATTCGTCGGAACGTCGTGATAGTCGGTGTGAATTGGATGGAAATTTTACACCCAATCAAGCAAATTCAATATTGGAAGTATATGGTAATCAATCAAAATGTTTCGACTTAGCAACCTTTTGGACCGAGCGAAAATGTGGTCGTATTCGAACATTTCTTCAATATAAAGCTGGGTGCTATCAGGTGAATTTTTATTATTCACTTTATTCTAGAATTTTGTTTGATATTTCTAGCAGTCAGAGATTATTCTTATATTACACACTTATTTTTCAAGATTATTCTTATATTACAGACTTATTCTTCAAGATTCAAATAGGTTGTTCATTGCATTCAGACTATTTTATTATATTCTTATTTTTATATTGAATTTCAGTATGAATGTAGTGAAGGTCGTTTGAATATTGGTTTGTTCAATGAAAGTTTTTTTTATCCATGTTATTTTACTGGCCAATATGTCCATATTCGAAAGGTTTTTTTTTTTTGTTTGCGAAATATTAAATTAGCACATTAGTCGGTATTTAAGTGTTTGTTAATAGATAGTTTTTGAAAAATTTCTCTTTATTTGAGTCATATTTGCAATATAAAGATTATTTTTCACGATGTTCATGGCTACAGCTTTGAAACAGACGGCGAATAGTTTTGAAAAATAAAGTTCTTTATCTTTCATTGAACTAATGTTACATCCTTCTGAAAGCGAATTTTCAAATAGTGAAGTTTTTTATTCACTTTAGTTAGTATTTACAGATTATAAATGGCTGGCTACGTGAGGGAGTGATCATTTGTCCTCCATGTGAAGAGATTTGCCATTCAGGACATTTTTCCTTGGACGACAAGTTTGGTTATTGCCAGGAAATAAACAAAGATGAAATTCCAGAATATGTAGGGGATATGCTGCTAAATGAACCTTGCGCAGCATCTACTTCTCATTATAGCTTCATTTTTTTTCTTTCCATTTTTCTCATACGGTTTTTGCATACTTACATCGTTCCGGGTATTTTTTGTGATTTTTCTATCGTATATTTTTGTAACAAAAGTTACTGAATCAGTGAAATGTAACTATATCGTTTCTGTAATGTTGGGATTAAATATTCAAAAAATGATATGTGTAACTAATATAATGAGGATAAAAAGTTAGATTCTGCTATCTTTTTCAAATGAAAAATAGACTTGATAAACCATGACGAAATCCGTTAATTTGTATGTTTAATTATTAGGTGTAGATTCATGGTTATTTCAAAGACGGTTTTTATTTATTTAAATATTATTTGTTCAGCAAAATCATATTTGATTTCATTCTCGATGTTTGTTTGATGTAGTATTTTGCTTCTGGAAATAGTATTGTGCTAGATTTCTTCGCCTATTTCATATCTTCTATTTATTTGTCGTATATGGTTTTAAATTTTATTCCGTTGGTAGTAGTCTTTGGTCGAGTTGTATTTTTTCATGGTTTTTTTCCTAACTTTTCTTTTTGATGCTGATTATTTTAAAGTATATCATGATTGTTAAAGCGGCTGTGATAGATGTTAGTATATCTTTTTCCTTATGTTTTTGGTTTTATTTTGACAGTTTTTCCATTTTATGTAAAATAAAAACGACTGTGATAAAAATTTCGAACTGAAGATTTTGCAAAATTTTTCAGCGTTTTCAGTTCATAAAAATTACATTTCTCAACATAGATATTTTCTTCCATATATGTCGTAAAGGTGATGTACTTCGTGGTTGTTAGAAACGGAATAGTACATCGATAAGGGGTGATTGTTGAAATTTAGTAAGAGAAATTAAAGTAATCTCAGCTAGTTACTCTTTAAATTGGTCCTGTCATAGGTTGTATGCTTGCAAGATTATTAGAGGAAAAGAAAAACTGAGAAGAGGAGAATTTGTGCAGCGACGAATATAAGGGCTTTTAAAGAGATTTTATGAATTTTATTTCCATCTATGTGCATGCATCTGAATGAAACAGTATATTGTGTGTTTCGGTAGTGACAAGAACATCTTTTTTATTCTTCAGATAGTAGAAAAATCTATAAAAAGCATAAGAATTGAACTATAATTTATGGGAAGTTGTTTGTAAAGAAACAAAATGAGTGTTGTGGATGAGGCCGTTGTTTGGGGTAAACGAAGTGCTGATCCATGGCATCGGATGACCTGTTGTCCGGAGGCTGTTTTCACTGTGATTGAATTTTGTCAGGTTGTTCTTTTGACTTATTATTTTGAACAGTAAATGGCATGCATAATTGTCTCTAAAGTATGCTTACTATGTGCTTAAAATTTTTATTACCACCCAAAGATTCAGTGTATTTTGATTTTAACTCATTGAAAATTTCATTGATTTCATCAAGTTAAGATTGAAGATTCAGTCCGTACAACGAGCTTTGTTCCTTTTCATTCATATAGAATTAATGCTTTAAATGTAAATGTATATATGAAATGTATATCAGTATTGCTGATTATCATTTGGAGATAATAAAGTTTGAGGACTAAATTTCATTTCATCTCACGCTACCTTATGACTCAATCCATAACGATGAGTACATCACCTAACAAAGTCCGACAGAATAAAAGAAATTTTAAAAAAGTTGAAATTTATATAAATCAAAACGAATTAAATCTATGTTATACTTTGCGAAACTCAGAAAGTCAAATTTTTACTTTACTCAGAAAACTATTATGTATTTGGTATTTGAATACGAAGTTTGTCTCATTCTGCTTCCTTTATAGGCACAAGGTCCACGACCGCTATATACGTATCCTGCTCATGTTCGTGGTCCACATCTTGACATGGATAATGTTGCTCTTTGGTTGATGAGCACCGAAGTTATTAATGGTTCCAGCGTGATAGTTTACAATCAACAAATGGCTATCTATGCATGTGTTCATTATTCAACTTTACTCGATTTGCACGCCCGAGCATTTCAGGTTGTTTGATTGATTATAGTGCTTATAAAATTATGTAAATGAAATTTGCTTTGCAAAAAAATAGTAATAGTAGTAATGAGAAAAGATTCAATGGAGAAAATTTTTTGATACTTACGGTGTAATTTCAGTCTTAGTTTGGTAAGAAAAGTCTTAATTTGGTTAGAAGCAAAAAAGAAATATCCTATGTAACAGTTCTGCGAATAACAATCCATAAATTTCTTAATTTATAGTCTGCATTATCAAAGTAATTAGCGATGATATTCCTCTGATTCAAACATAGCGTTTAATCAGTTTCAGCGACCGATATCGTTAGCGTTATTAACTCCTGTAAAACCTACAGTTACGGTATTTAAAGAATTCATTGAGGCTAGTCGATATGTGTTTTTGCCATTACTGATTTGCAACCAGACTTTATTTAAGTTCGTTTTCCTTTTTTTTTTCTCTTTTTTAGATGAAGTTTTCTGGGTATTCATGTAAGGGAAAAAACGTAATAAAAGTCTAGAAAATAAATATCAATACCGATTACCAATGAGTGTATCTTATTCATTCTCATTTTAGAATCCAATCATTTTAACGTGTTTCAGTAAGAAAAGAAGAAAGCTCTGCTTTATTTATATGTTAAATTTAGTAAAAAAAAATTGCATCAATTAATTTGAAGATCACATCTTGTCCGATTAGTTAACTTAACTAAAACAATGGAACTCAAAATGCCAGATAATGAGAATTTCCTTACATCAATATCAAAATCTGCCAGGGCCAAAATTCAATCGGTATCTGATCAGGTATAAATTTATTTCGGTTTATATTATTTTAAGCCATATTCGCATAAGCGTTAGCAGAATTTCCATTCTAAAATTTAAGAAATAAACATTCCTTATTTTTGTTTGGTTCAATTAAACCTTTTATTACACAGCACAGAAATGGTGCAAAAAACAATGAAAAGATTTGTTATCAAGTTATGTCAGTGCCACTTTGTTCTTTCCATAAAATCCGACTATAAAAAAAAAATATCACAGCAGAAATTAAAGTTGATTCGATGTTCTAAACAGGCGCTGGATTCTTCGCCCATAAATTTTCTGGGATAAGATGAATGCTACTATTCTTTTTCTTTCTTGAACTACCAACTGTCTTATTATTCCTTGAAGGGTATTATCTAGATTTCTGACAAAGATTTGAAGAATTTGACCATTATCATTTGTACTAAAGATGAAGTGAAAAAACTCTCAATCCTAAATTTCATTGAACGGTTTAAAAAATAGTAAAATTTAATACTTTATCATTCTATTTTTAATATTTTTTTATCTTTTTTACAGGCAAAGCGCATGTTGCAGCGGTTTGAAAATGATGCCGTGCAAAAGTCGATGCGTAATTCTGTGTATTGTAGTGGACATGAACTAATAAGTAATAATGTTAAGATTTTGGAGCAATTAATTGAGGATCCTCCAATATCGCTGCAAGAAATGAAATTTTTAACACCATGCGTTAGTTTTTTCTCTGTCCTAGCAAACTGTGCAGGTCCATTCTAGAAGCTGCCAATTTATCCAGCAAATAGACTTAATAGAATAATTTAACTGCAATGTAAGACAGCTTTGGCTCTCTGCTCCAATCGATTTCAGAGGAGAGTTTGAACAATCTAAGAAGAAAATTATATTTATAACAACAAACGACGGTTATAAGAATGATAGGAAGAGAGGGCTGAGACAGAAAAAAGAAAAGAGTGATATGCATGCCTTTTATATACTCAGCAACTATAGAAAAAGTTTAAAAGAAGTCAATGTTGAATAAAAGATTTATTCAGTATTTAGATTATATTTAAGATGAGTGAATTTAGGAGTAAAGCTGAATAAACTTATGAAGTAAATTTCTATGAAATTTCAGACATATGATGGGTTTATTAAAGCGCTTCCAAAAATATATGAAAAACTTACCAGAGCTGCCCATACTTATAATACAGGAACTTTGTTTTGCGCTACAACGCCAGTATTAAAGTTGAAAGATTGTAACAATCATAGTTTGAATGACGACAATACTAGTACTGCATCCATGTTAGTTTATCCTAAATATAGTTTATGGAAATAATCAATTGTCTTTTTTAAGCTCCTTCATAAAGTATTAATTAAAAATGAATTTGTGGTTGAGTTGAGATCATTTTATCATGGTACTTGATTGATATTGCTTTAGGAATTTTCTGGATGAAAATGATTATACGAGGAATTTAACTACTATTGTAGAGGGTTTGGACAAGGTAAGACTTTAATAACAAATTAACTATACTCTTAGAGGGAGAGTGTATTTCTCGAATTCGTTTTGAGATGAGTCAGTAGAATTCTATTGTTAACGGAAACAAGTTTTGGGGTACCGAATATAGTTCTGCCGGTGATAAACAGTAATGATGAAATAATATCGAAAAAAATTTGTGTACTTTTCTACACCAGAATTTTTATTCCGAAATTCAAAGTAAGCTTTTTATTTTCTTATTTGCAGATTTTATTTGCTCTCTTAAGTGGTGAAAAATTGGCACTTTGGTCCGTAGAGGAGAGGAAAAGTTTGGGGAAGGACTTACTTAAAAAACTAAATTTGCTAAGGGTTTGCATGCAAAAACAAAATGCATGGTGGAAGACAGAACATAAAAAGTAGGTTGTAATCTTTACTATCGTTATAATATTGTTTGTGCATTTCGTTATCAGTGATAGTAATAATAAGTAGAAGTATTTAAATCATGTGAATAGGATGAAAAAACTCCTATACTATCTGAGTCACAATACCATGATACATATATCTCTTTCAATCTATGTGATAAAAGAAGGAACATTTTCATATCTTTTGCTCATTTTTTTGCAGAAAATAAATTTGCAGCATTGAGGATTGTCAATTATTCGGGGAAAGCGTTCCACGTAAAACAACTGTAAACGATTCAAATGATGCAATGCTATGCGTGTACGATGTTGAAGGGCGATGGCTTAAATGTAGGAATTATAAAGGTATATTACATGATTTCCTCAAGTTCGTATATTTCATAGCTTCTATGCAGCTCTTCCTTACTGCACTTGTTTAAGTTGATGCAAAGTGTAATTCGTTGTTACATATTAAATGTCAATATTTTCAGGTAAATTGTTAAGCTTTTTGTCATCTAAACGAAGTGACTCATTCCCTACCGATTATGCGCTGATTCAGTATATTATGGCACAATTAACAGATTTGTGCTCAATTGTATATTTAGCCAAGCATATTGATCCAAACGAATTACAAGAATGTCTACAGATAGAGGAAGATGATTTCAAAATAATTATTCATTTGTTGGCTGAAATCGACTTCTTAAAATATGGTTTGATGAAAGAAAAAATGAAAAAGGAGAGAAATTTAGGAATGATCGCTTTTAAAATTTAAGTTTATCTTTAATCTGCACAAATTTATATATTTATTATTTGTAAGTCTCTCGAGTTTTTATGCTTTCATTGATCGCATGGCTAAACTGCAAATTTACAGAATTCATTCCTGTATGCAAATAATATATCATTTTTATTAATAAATAAAACTTTGATTTTTTTTCGTATGGAAGGAGGCTGAAATTTCATTTGGATTCGGCGAAAAAAAATGATTATAAAACATATTGAACTTGAGCACTGGCGTGAATTCGAAATTGAGCGGATTGAGGCAACTGCATTATTAAGACAGGGAAGAATGCATATATTTGGACGAGAACATAGAAGAAGGTTTGGGGGAATATTAGACTATATACAGTAAAAATACTGAAGTGCGCTACAGTAGTTGTGTAATTCCCTTTTTTTGAGTGGGAGAGCAAGAATGATTGTTTTGATAGTTTTACTGGAGAAATTTGCAGGTCAAGCCATCGAAATCTGGATAATTTATTTAAGTCGTCAATGAGTTCATGTAATTGCATAAATTTTTATTTTCATGGCATATTTTATGTCTTTTGTAATATCGACAGTTCCTAGTCCCCCTAGTCCATCTTAGTTTATACAGTCAGTAGGTCGGTTAGATATAAACCAAAACCAGAAATTAGTGCTCATTTGTTAATGCTTCATTCGCATATTACAATTTGTGAAAATTCGTTTTTACATAAAATAAGTCTTAACAATTCTAGTGCTTTTCTATTTAAAAAGAAAAATTTATTAAAATACAAAACAAACAAAAACAAAGAAAGGAACCCAATAAAAATTTTTAACTTCAATAAGTAAAAATTGAAAAATTTAATTCTAAAGCAAAAAGTACTGCTATTCACGCATGTGATTAAATTGCAAAATTCATATTAATTGAATATAAAGTATGAATGGCTTTTTGTACGCAAAATTTGATTAAAATTGAAAAATTTGTAAGATCTAATTAAAAGTAATTATAAGGTTTGAATTTAGTCATAACATCATTTATCTCAATGGATTAACTTTGTTGGAATTTGCTTTGCTACTTTTCTCATTTCGGACCATTGACATATTTTTCATATATCACCTCGGAAAAAAGGATATTATGCATTAGCCAATTAAATGTTGAAATGATAGCATTGGATGAGTGAGTAGTGGGTATTGTTACTCTAGTTTAGTTTGACCAAATTAATTTATCCTGAATATATTGCTAATTATTTACTATATTCTATTAGAAAAATAAATATACGAGAAAAAACATATAATCTCAGAAACCTCTCATCAAGACTCACTAATTAATAATAATTCAAGGAATGAAAACGAAAAAAACAAGACTAATTAGCTTAATTTTTTTATAGAGTTGCTCACTAAATTGATGGTTCTTCTTTCATATTCTTATTTTTTCCACTTCCCAAAAAATTATTAAATGCTTTTATTTCTAACTTATTGAAAGAAAAAAAATAGTGATGAAAGAATTGGAATTTTATTTTAAATTTTATTGCATTATTCTTTAATAATAAAAGGAAAAAAAATGATCAAAAAAGAGTGATGAAAAAGCAACAATAGAATATTATAGTTTAATTGTCTTTACACGCACTTAAGTATGAAATTAAAAAAAAAGAAACCTTAGTAAAACAAGACAAAGGGATTATTTCTAATTTCAATAGGATATTTGATTTAATTACAATTTCGCGCTATTTTAGAATAAATAATTTCCAATGGACTTTAATTATTTCAAATTCAAATTTCATTTGAAAATACGGAATATTTGAAATTATAAGAATAATATTTGTTGTTGTACACTATAATTATTTAAATTTTTGGAGAGAACGATAAAAATGTCAGATGTAAATTTTCTAAAAGATATTTCAAATAACGGGTTAAAATTCAAAAAATAAAACTAGTCAACCTCTCATCCTGTATACAGAAGAATTACGAAAATGCAGGAGGTGGAAAAGATTCAAGGAAGAATACTCGACTGTTTAGATTTTTTTATTTCGTAAATTTCGAAAATGAAATTCATTTCCATATTTTGCTGAAATAATTTGATAAGAAGATAACTCTTTTTTTTCTTTTTTTTAAAATAACCTCTTTGATTTCAAATTTTTTAAGGAAGAAAAATTTTACGTTCCATACAATAATTTCCATTTTACATTTTCCATTTTTTTACGTATAAAATTACGGTAGAACAGTTTCCCATTGTGTTTCTATTTCCTTGAATTGCCATACCGTTGGCTGACCATAATGCTTTGCTTGAATATTTGTTGTAGCCCAGCTAAAAAACTTTATACATTTTTCTAAATAAATTCCATTACGAAATGAGAAATATTATTGATAATGAAAGTTTAAAAAAAAGCTAATATCACATATATCAAAGATAACTTCTCATAATAAAAGAAACATTACCTGAAGACAGGAAGAGGATCATAAGGTGGTCCACCCCATGCTTTAAAACGAAGATTTTTGAATAAATGATAGTTCGTTCCCTGAAAATATTTGATCTCATTTAAATGTAATAATTAAATTTTTACTATTAATTGAATATTATTACTATTAATTGAACTGTTAAAAAATATACTTAGAATAACTGAACTATAATCAAAAAAATAGCATTCTTATAAAAATAGCTGTAAAAAAGAGATGATCTAATCGCAATAATTTCTCACAATTCTTAATTTATAATTAGCTAGTTTATCTTTAATAGGAGTGCAAATTTTTGGGATGAAATGCAAACAGGTAGAGTTATTCGAACTTTAATTAAAATAAAATTACTTTGTAATCGATGCTTCCATGATTCCGATGACCCATTGCGTTAATTTCATATGTACCGTTGGGTGGATTCAAATCTCCACGTGTTGATATGCTTGCTTCTGCTGAATATGGTGGTATACATTTACACTTGCTGAATTCATCATGCTTATAATCATTGTATCTGAAAAGCGAGAAAAAAGTAATTAATTTTATATAATTTCAAAAAAGACAAAACTCTTTTCTTCTTCTTTTGGTGAAAAATTTGAAATTTCTTCAAAGATGTTTTTCATAGAAAGCTTTGACATTCTATTTCAAAAAGTTTGAAAAAAATTCCTAGTACCTCATTAATTTTTGCAAAGTATCCAAATTGATAACTTTATGATGGTCACGCTTGAAAATTTTAGCACGTGGACAGCTTTCCCATTTATACCAATCTAATAATTGACCTTTTTCCTTGAAACCACTTATTTCACTGATTATTTTAAAATACGGAATATTATAACTTGGCCAATATGTGTAATTCTTCAGGAACCATGTCATATCATGAGAAATCACTAGTCCACTAAATATATTTTAATTAAAAATTTAATTTTCAAATTAGCATATAAGAAAAATTGAAGATCAAAATTATTCAATAATTGAATTTATACATTTATTGCAATTTTCGATGGAAAAAAAAGAAAGACTAAGATTAAAGACTGCATACGGTGTTTGCTCCAAAACCCATAAAAGATTATTGGTTGGAAGTTTTTCATTCGGTTTGAATAATTTATAATCAAGTACACTCCATTGATTATTATAGGTACCCGAGTTATATCGTGCAAATATCTGCATCCATTGTTTTGCCGTACTGAAATGATGCAAGTAATATTTGAAGAAAATGAAAGAATTAAATTTAAATGATTAAAAAAGAGCAAAAGAACTATTCATCATAATTATTCATTGCTATTCTTTAGAAGGTTGAATTACAATTATTATATAAATTGGTTAAGCAATCCAAATTTACAACAGAAAAGAAAGTTGAATGAATTATAATTTTAATCGAGCAATTATAGTAAGATTAAGGCAAGAAGATAAAATAAGATAAACACAGTATTACTTTATGTTCTCTTTGGAAAAGAAAGATTGATAACTTCATTTATAGAGAAAAAATAAGGAAATAACAAACTTTGCAAGCTTTGTAGCAATAATACTACGAATCCAACAATGTAATTGTCCATCGCTTCTGACAGCATTATACAATGAATGATTGAATATACTTATTGTCGTTTCAATTATTGCCTTATATATAATGCAATTATATCATTAAATGAGGAAAATAGATAAGAATAGTCAACTAAATTTTAAATTTACAAATAATCCATATGCGTAATATAATAGTAAAATAATTTGTATTCTTAATCATTCTACCAACAAAATTCTTTTATGGAAGATTTCGGTCATTTTTATAGCAATAAAAAGATTTTGATAAAATAATGAAAAAATAAATGTAAAGAAAATATAATACCAATCCAGAGCTTGCAAGGATAAAATCATCCAATGAAGCTAGCACACCAGGATATGATGAGAAAGATGTCGCATAACCGGGTACTTTTTCTTTATCTGTTATAAATAATATTTTCTATTTTAATTTACTGTTTCATTACTATCTTAAATATGACCGTAATTAAAGCATATAATTAGAGTTTTGAATACTACCATAGTATATACATTATATAAGACATATATTTATAGCAATAAATGATATAATTTTTTCAGCAATTCAAAAAAAAAAATTGAAAAATAGAATCAAATAATGATATAATTTTTCAGCAATTCTTTTACAAAATATTCCTTAATATTACTTTGCGAATGAAAATTTTTAAAATTAAAAATTTGAGGACTAAGTAACTCAAATAAATATTTCGTTCCTTATTCCTTTTTTCTTCAGTTGAAAAAAATGCATTCAGTTATTAACGAAGATTAATATCTTGTAAGTTTTTAATATGTAACAACTTTTTCTCGTATCTAAAAATGCCCAATGTGAATAACGTGAAATATATTATATATCTTACAGTTATGACAACAACTTTGAATATTAAAAAAAAAAAATTTATATCATATTAGCGACTAAAATATCTGAGCAGAAAAATTACCAAATGCAAATTTGTAAAATTTAAGAATTCGATTCATCGTTTCATAACTGGACATAGAAACATGAGCGATGAATAAGTCGGCATTATCTGGAGCTAATTTTATCAAACCGGAACAATGGGTTGCATCAGTTTTATTCTTGCCGAATACCTTTTCCAAATCAAAGACCTCACCAGCAAGTTGAATCATGCTATAAAAATATTAAAAATTAAAAAAAAAGAAATTAAAAATTCCGGTAAATTTTACCATAAATTAATTTTTTTCTACTTCAAAAATTAAATTTTATATTTAAGAGCAAAATTTCCATTTCAAGATTTTTGCAAATTAAAATTTAATTATTGCTGAATCGAATCAACAAGGAAAAATGAGTATAGAAAATTGCTAATAATAGTTTTTGAAAAATGACATAAACAATTCATTATTTACATAGGCATAATTTAATTGAAAACATTTTTTCCACAATAAATTTTTACTATATAATTTTTAAATGATGCTAAAACTTACTAAATTGGTGTTAGTTCAAACGAAATTATCGGTTTATACATGGTAGATGCTTTCTTCAAATATCCATAATTTATTCCTGTTAGTTGGGCAAATGTTAAATTCACCTATAAAGTAGTGATACATTTTAGTAATGGCAGATCTTCAAATTTTCTAATCTTTTCAATCAAGGAATTTAAATGAAAAATACGAACAACGGCTGAATTTCCATTACCAGATATTAATGGTAAATTATTATTAGAGATTAATAAGTACTAGTTGATCATTTAATTGCATGCTTTAATTCTGTATTAAGAATAAATAATTCTTTCTCCAATTCAATTATCAATTTGTTATTAAATATTTATATCATTGAAATAAATGATATGTGGAAAATGAAATTTTCAAATTTTTTAAAATGTATTATTTCTAAAAGCTATTAAATTATTTTAAAAATCTTTAAAAAACAGCTATTAAATAATTATCAAAAAATAAAAAAGTTCATAATGTTTTTGCTTCAGTAATATTGGCCAGATGACATGCATATGAATGATATAATTAAAAATTAATAAAAGTAAAAATAGTTCAAGAAACATAAGCCTAGTAATGCATAGATTTTTTAATTTAATTATATTTTAAATCAAATTATAGATTGACCTGTTTCCAGTAAATATCCATTTCTGTTTTCTTACTTACTGTGCGCTTGATCCATTCCAAATTTTTAGATAAATAAGCAAAAAGCTTCTTGCAATATTCTTCTTCGCCATCACATATTTCTTCTACCGTATTACGGAAATGATATGTTATCAATTGTCGTGTTAAAACACCTTTAAAATTTACTCACTTATCTTTGCTTTCTTGTTACATCATTGAATTATGATTTATAATGATAAAAATTTATGTTAACGATAAAATTCTCAAAATTAGCTCTATTTTTTATTTTTCCTTTTTTTGCTTAGAGAAAAATATATTCCGCATGTGAATTAATTGAAAATTCGAAAAATCACAAAAATAGAGCAAATTTTGGGAATTTTATTGTTAATAATAATAAACGCTAGTCTTTGAAAAGTTCTTTTTTTTTTCGTCATATTTTTAACAAAAAAAATTAACCTTCAAGAAGTCCAGCAGCAAATGCTTGGGTCATTTCATCGACATCATTGAATGTTTCCACTTCCAAAATACCCCATCTGGAACAAAATAAATCTTTTACATCCATTCTTATTAAATTTTATAATTGCATCTCATATGCTTAGAGTACCAGTTCAAGATGCTTAAATTTTTTAGCTTCAAGAATAGTATTTGAAATCACAATTATAACTTATGAATGATAATTATCTCTATAATTGTAAGTGATCAGTCTAATTAACCTTCGGAAGATACAACATTAATTTATTTTTTTCTAAATGATCAGTCTCATTTTCCTTTTGTCTAATAAACTGCATAAAATATTTCGTCTCTTTCATTCATTTATAACAATTTTTTTACCCTGTCTCGTTGACAGCATTACGGAATCGTCCCAACGCAACCTGAATATCTTTTTCACATCTCAGACCACTATTTGTATATAATGTATTGCTATTCTTTTTACGACATGCACTTAAATACTCATAATAATTATCCTGAAAAAAAACGACTTATTATAAGTTAATCATCCGCAATTCATTAATTAAATATTCATCTGAAATTAACTGATGAAATGAAAATAGTCCAGTCAAAAATCAATGAATAAATATTTCGGATTTCATAACATCACTTTTATTTATCACTTCATTATCTTAATCACTCGTACTTGGTACTGCAGTAAAATTATTTTGAAGTGACTTTCACACTTTATTTACCATTCTATTGTTATCACAATAAGTTTTGCTGCAATTATGTAACATTATCGCAACATTTCTAAATATTCGCAATTTACTATACCATTATTACAGTTATTTCCACCTGTAATTATATGAAATCATCGCAAACTTTTTCATTACTTTATTTACTACCACATTTATTTCTATATGAAATTACAATAAAAATTACCGTAAATTTTTCTTTTTTGCAATGCTATTCAAATATGTATACAATAGCATGAACTATTTCTGATGAAAAAATAAAAACAATTAATTTAATCATTTTTTTCAATAAAATTATAGTTACGAAAAAAAAGGAAAAAGTAAAAGTAATAGTTACATGTTTTTTATGATTGATAAGATTATTTGCACTGTCGATAATTGTACGATCACGTAATCCAAGGAGATTTTGACGTTTGAATGACAGTAACGACTGAGAGAAATGTAAGATAAATAGTATTGACCAAAATGAAGAAAGGAGCATAATGTAACAATACCTGCTCCAGTAGATGATGAAATGAACGATGTGTGTGCTTGTTGAAAGATAGAAATATCATCCGAACCGATCATCATCTTAATCATCAATCATTCATCCCATTCCTATCTTTTTCAGTCTTCAATAATGACATCAATTCTCCCTTTCATCTTCTTTCTTTTCTTACTTTTTCTTTCGTTAAAGAATATTAAAAATATGTTCTCATTTTTTCTCTATAAAATTCTAATTTTTCATATCAAATTTTTTAATTTCACACTAAAATTTGAATTACCGTCGACGCATGTTTACTATAAAATGAAATTTATTGTCAATTTTTCTGAAAGATAAAATATACAACGGGAGGATTTAATTTTTATAGATAAAAGTCGTTTATACATCTTTGCATCTTTCAGATCTCTTTTTTTTCCTCAGTCTAAAACTTCAGCTATACATTTTCCACGAATTCATTTTCCCTCTAATTTATCTTTGCAGTAAATTTATTGCATAAGCTTTCCACCAAAAAGTTGCTATGAGAAAATAATTCTTTACTATAAAAAATTGAACTATTCTCTATTTAGATCTTTGATGATTATAATTTGAGGATCTGCAAAGCGTACTTTAATTCCAAGTACGAATCAAGTTCACTAATCACGTGTTAAAGAAATCGTATAGATTTCATTTTGGAAATGAACGTACTTCCTTTTGTCTTAGATTTGCCCATTGATTATATTTGACTATGATGGACTCATTGCTACAAACATTGTCGCTAAAGATAATTTTAAAAAAAACATAGAATATAATTAGAAATGTGGAAACAAAGATTTAAATATGAGATATCTCGAAATGTAATCAAACTCTGATCTTTTTTCCTGAAATTTATCAAGATACATAACAGTCATAAAAAGTCAGCAAAACAGAAAAATGTAAAGAAATTAACAGCGTAAACTGCATAAGAAAAGCAGATCTTGTTTTTGAGACCTATAAAAGATTGTCTATAGCATTTATACAGCATTAAATGGCTAGCATCACTTTCCATTCTTGACAAGACGTACGGAATTTTTACAATGTTCTGGAATCAGATAAAAACAGAAAGATTTCTTGCTTTTTCCTATAAACAAATCTTTAATTACACAAAAAATACCGCTGGATGAATATATTTGTTGTGCATATTAAAAATTTTGTGGCAATGAGCTTTTGTGAGAAATAAATTCCGTGCAAAGTACAACAATGCCAAAAGAAAAGAGTGAAAGGGACTTGTCTCCATTTTCTAATTATAGATCAGTCAAAACACTACTGGATCTTTGACAATCTAAACTGTAAAATTTGTAAGATTTCTACATTCTAATGCATGATTTAATAAAATTTAAACGTTAGTAAAATTCAAAAATGCTCCACAATAGTTACTAGTTAAGTATCGATGTCATAAAACTAATTCAACTTTTGAATGTCACTAGAAATTAGGACTTTTGAACTGTAAGTGAAAAACAAGCATATCACACATTACAACATTTACAATAAGGCACAAAATTATTACAATATCAGTTCATGAACATGAAAGTCACTTCCAGTAGCTATAAGAATAGCAGCATTGCCGGAGAAACCGCCCCAATTGGATGCATAAACAAGTTTTGGCTTTCGCGATGAATTCCTCGGATCATGACTTGGGAATTCACATAACTTCTCTCCATTGTAAGTTGACCAAGCTCGTGTAATTCCATCTGAGGTAGCTATAATGAAATTCTTTTTATTGTTCCATCTCAAGTTTCTCGCTACCTGACTTCATTTTCAAGATCATTCTTTTTAAAAATCAGGATAATATTATTTTCATAAAAAGTGGAAAAAAAATGATAATTCGCATTTTACAAACTTCTCAATATTACTTTTATGGATTTCGCGCTACTTTCTTCATCTGTTTCATCTACAACTGATTCGATAAATCAGTGCATTTATAAAGAGACTATTGCGCATAATCAAGAAGATACTATAATATTGTTTCATTATTTAGTGATATTTGATGCATTTTATTACTCCCCCATAAAATCAATTTCCTAAATGAAATCAAGTAAACTTAAATTAACCTGAAAAGAGAATCCTTTCATCCTTCTCGAGATGCATCGGTGTTTTATTATAAGGATTTATATTATCTTCAATCCTAATCAGAGGCTTACCCACTCGAATATCCCAAAATTTTATCTAAAACCAACATCTCCAAAAAAGATTTATAACATAATAAAAGATTTTCAAGAAGAATATTCACTAATAGAGCATACTTCATACATAAAGGCCCACTCACTGCTTCAAGATATTCTCGCCCTATATTTATTGAAAATTAAGTCACGGGACAGAAGAATAAAGAACTCAGCTTTATTTCAATTATTTTAAAAGATCTAAAAAATTTGCCAATAGTTGAAAATCCAAAAAAAGCCTACAATTCCAACATGATCTTCGGTAACAAGCATATCAGGTTTTGTTCGCATTGTCTTCAGCCAACCTACACTTTCAGTATCATTGTAGGTCGCAACAGTCTCCCGATTATTCATTCGCAAATCAGAGCAAATTACATTATTACCCAGTAGACCCATAAACAATAAATTTCCATCCTGAAACTCTTAATCACTTTTTAGGAATTATCCAATGATCACAAAATTCAAATCCAAGCTAACTATTGTTGTAAGCTAGGCTCTATTATCAAACAGTATAATAATGTATTATCGTCCTAAGAATGAAAAAATTGTGCAGCAGTATCATAATCCACATGTCAAACCTCTCTTTTCTTAAATAAAAAACCTCAAAAAAAAGAGAAACAAAAAAAAAGAATCAATGATCACAATACGCTCTAAAATTCCATTCTGTTACTCAGCCAACGCCAAAAATTATATTTTTAAACTTCTACAATAATCACAATAATAATGCTTTAGTTCATTATTTGCATAAATCCAGTTTTTCTTGCGGTGGATATATTACTTTACATTGTAAGCATAAAGAAATTTTGCAGTGCCAAGAAATTTACAACAAAGATACATGGAAAGAAATGTAAAATAAAATCTCGCATATGAATCAAGTAAAAATTAATATCATTTCGTGAAGAAGTTATAACTCATTCAGTTTTCAGTAATCAACTGAATAAAAAGCTGAAACCTATGAGGATTTAATCTAGAAGAAATAAAGATGTCGAAACATACCGCACTAAAAGATAGGCTCATTACACTTCTTTTTAGACTGTTAATACGAATAGTTTGTTCCGTCGAAATATCCAATAATAAAGCATTTTCTTCCAAACCTATAGATTACGTATACGTATATTTGAATTAACAAATTCATAATGTGCACTTACTATAAATAGTACATTTTCGCTATTCTGACTTAATTTGTACACGATTCATTTTTCGCTACATTCTCCTTGTATAAGTGCTTCATTTTTCATGAAATGCAAAAAAACTTCCCACCACTCTGAAACGAACTAAACAAAGTCAAATTTGAAAACCACAGTCTTAAATTATATCATTCCTTAATAAACATTAGTTGGCTTAAATATTTACTGCCCCTATTAAATGCTCAAGAATGATTTATTTATAATTAAATCTAAAGCCCAAACTGGAATTCTTGACCACTAAAAAACAAGTATACGATCATAACTAACCAATTCCAATTCCCATTCGATTTCTATTAAAAGCTAATGCATGCACATACTTCTGACATGTCCATCTCATGTTATATGACGGTAAACGCAATTCTGCTGAGTCCTAGAACATAACTGCGCTTTCCAAACAAAATAAAATGTACTCAGGTATTAAATTAAATATTTGATCATATATCAATGGTGTTTTGGTTTTTAATTATATATTAATGAAATCTCCTGAATGCACATATCCATAATATCATCTATTTTGGTTAGAATCAATCTTATAACTTACATGAACTGAGGAAAATTCAGCTACTGGCTCAATGCAAACTCGACTTAAAGTTGAAAATCGATTATGCATAGTAACAATAGTTTGCGTCGTAACATACAATGCACATGTAACATTGTCGTTAACCGGCTCGACGCATATATCCATTAAATTTGACTTCACCAGATTTGCACCGTATGTACTACTTGGAATTTTTAATCCAAACTTACTCCAACATACACCTTTGCTACAAATAAACTTGTATATTTTGAACTCAATCGCTGAAAACATCCGCTTCTTACACTACATGCTAACTGTGACCTTACATAACCACGGTCCTCTTAGAATATTTCGCTTTTTCACGTGTTTTTAAGTGAACAGTCATAAATCATTCGTTTTATTTCAAGCAAATTTGAAATAATCGGGAAAATTATATTTCGGTTCAAAATAATTTCCTATGATTGCTGTTGCTGAGTTTCAATAATCTTCCCGCTAATACTCTATACTGTCAACTGTTTCTACTAACAACATGCACAGAGAAATACGATAAAAAGGTTGAATTAAAAAAAAAACATACGTGTTATCATAATGACTTGTGGTAACTTTGAAACAAATAAGTCGTGCACCACATGTGTCTCTCCACCCCTCGTCCCGCCGACCTCTCACTGACCAACATCCAACGATGGTTTTTCCATCGTCACTAATATCCACATAATGACAAGAATGTAATGTGTCAATGTCTGTATATCCCTGAAGAACAGTCAACAGCATTCATTCTTCCTATTTAGTAGTTCTAGCTATGCAAATCATTATGTCCAATAGTGCATTTATCATAGTAGAATGGACATACAAGTAGTTATAAGTAGTTCCATAACGGGATGCAAAATTCCTAAAAGTACTGGACGTCGTTTAACATATCTACATTAAAAATACTTCAGAAACCAATACAGCAGTCCGATTCGTTGCATAAAACAATTATCATCAATATCCACTGATGGAACCATAAATAATATGGAACATCTTTTTTGTAGTCGAACTTTACTGATTCGCTTAATTACTTAACAAAACATGTTACCCATATTTTTCTATTATATTTATAATTTTTACGACACGTATTTGTTTTATCATGTCAAAATGATGCCTAAACGAGATCGAATTAAACTAACCTTCTGAATGTAACTAGGCTTTTTTCGAACGCCACGCAATGCTCCTTCAGTAACCAAACGTGTAAATCGTGACACGCTGCTACCATATAATTCTCTCCGTTGTATCATTTTTGGTAACCATAAAACAGAAGGGCAAGATTTGGAACAACATTGTTCACGTTTAGCCATAAATAAATTGTGTTGCCGATTGCCTCTTAAATCGCTTTCACGGAATCCAATGTTCTAAATTAAAACTCTTAATTTGAATAAATGAAAATTTCTCAAAATTCGAAACTATACCACCATACATATGTATAGTAACCAAGACCTGTAAAAATAAAAAAACTCACGGGGCCACTAGCCTGTGGTTGAACTCTGTAGTAGCGTTTAGTTACACTGTCATATGCGAATCCCGGTATATCACTTTCCTCAACAATTGCATTGCCGTGAGACAATTGCTGTTCATTGGTTGTATGATCAATTTCATTCATACCGCGATTACTGCAAATCAATCCTTTTCTATTTTTGTATTCACTAAACCATTAGAATGTAGAAGAAATTATATTAGTGAGTATTGCTTACCAAGACCTAGATTTCTGAAACGACTAATAAAACCCTAAGTCAATTTTGTTTGTTACTTTGTGATTATTAAAGTAGTACAGTAGAGAACGACTCAGTACCAGAAAATGTATGATAAATAAACATCTATCAAATAAAGTATGGATGAAAAATGAAAAAAAAAGAGTGTAAATAATATAAATTTTATTATTCGTAAGGATTATAAATGTAACCTTCGCATAGCATTATTCCGATTTCTTCTTCTTCTCTTTCTTAACTGTCCCGTATTCAAATTGGCTTCCCCAACAACTTAAAATGAAACAGTTAGAAGTCCATATTAAAGGAATGAAATTCTAATATGCACTTCTAATACATTTAACAATAAAAAGACAAAAAGTAGTAAAATCGAAAATTTCGATCAACAAATATTTGAGCTATCTAACAACAAATTGTATTTAAGATAAATATATAATTCATCTTCTCGCTGAATATTTCTAATATTTCTTAATAAATTGTTGCAAATAGTTTCATACATGTTAAAATCTCTTGAAGAAAAAGAATGGTAAAAAAGTACATGGATTTAGAATCCAAATTTTAAGATCATCCATTACGATATTCTAAATGCCATTTGTGATTACTAGAATAAGTATTTCAATGGTAAATAAAGGAGTATTTTAGCAAAAATGTTTCAAATTGAAATGCTATACATTGCCGATCTAGAAAACTTAGAGTATTTATCATCATTTTGGTGTTTTCTTCGCTACCAAAATTATGTCTAGGCAGTTTTTATTAAGTTTTCGACTCAAAATTCAATGTAATACCAAATGAGTCATTTGATGGTACATATCGTCGTCTATTTGTTGTTGTATCTCTCCTGTGCCGTTTGTTACATTCCATATCTGTTTGATTATTGTTGATAGATTTATATTAAATAAATCCTAAAGTATAAAAATCCTAAAGTACACAATTATAGCAGCATTGGATGATCTCAGATCGATACGTAGAGCCAAATATTTTCAATTTCTAATCTTTATGTGCAAAACCCAATTTACTGATGAAACCTGATTTCAGTGGCTTATTTAAGTCTATTTATCGGATAGAAAATTCTAACAATCTGCCATTAGTGGTCCTTTGCATGTCTATCATTATGTACTACTCAGTGAGCATTTGCTAAAAAGATAAAATAAGGTGGTACATATAAAAATACATATCAAATAGATTAAAGTGAACTATGCATATTGTACACTAAAATAATTGCTTAAATTTGAAACGTTACCGGCAGAATGTTTACTTACTAACTTCTTCATTATTATTGGCATTGAAGTTTCTTTGTTTTATTATTTACTAGTACATAATTTTCTGCAATTTTAATCATATTTGCAGTGTTTCTCAATTTATCAGGACTACATTCCAAATATGACAGCTCGGATTCTAACTTATATCTACGAGAACAAATTACGGCAAAGAAAAAATACATTAATTCGGCAACTCTACCAAAGATTGAACGCAAAATTCATAATGCAATATTTCTCTTTTCTTTTCTAGTTATCAGCACTATTAAAATTTTTTGGAAGAAGAGTAAAATGAAATCAACTATTTTCATGATTTGAGATTGAACTTGATCAAATTGCTTGCATGAATAATTTCTCAAAAAAATTTTATGAGATGAAATTTTAGAATATTTCAAAACAATACTGGTGAGAAAAAGAGAAATATACACTACTAATCAGCAACTCTCTTTTTGCAGCTACTAGTCATGACTTTTACTTGAACGATTATTTGACCAATCAATATTACATTTTCGAGTAAAAGGTTGAAACTTATTAAATTTATTCGATTTATTTTTAATCAAAGAAGAGAAAATTTATTTAGGAAATTTTACTGATCCATAACAGGAAATAACGTTGAAATTGAAAGAAAAGAAGAATGTATCATGTAACGTGGAGATTCTGTTCCAACGCTGACTTCAACAATCTCCCATATACATTACGTAAATGTGTGCATCTTAAGTAAAGCAATGAGCAATATTAAAAATCAAGGCTATCCGTACCATATACGTAAACCCTTTCACAACACTTAGCAGAAGTCAGATATATTCTTTGTGACAAATCATTCATTATGTTCTTACATCACCTCGACCGCGTTAATATTAAAAATTACTGTCTCATGCTATATTTCAGCATCACCTGCGTGCTGTCCCCATGGTTAATAACTAGCGTGAATATCATAAATTTGATAGCAAAGGGAGATTTCAAATTAGGTGAATAGAAGATCCTGCTAAAACATAAAAAGGATCAAGCTTAAAAAGTCAAATATTGCAATTTTTCTTCTTGAAGTGCACAGAATGACTAAACAATGGACCGAATGTTCAGAAATCTCTAAGAGCAATCAACTTGCAAATTCACAAAATCAAAAATGCTACTGACTTCGATAGTTTATACATTTTTAACCAAAAAATAAGCATAAATATTTAAAAAAAACAGATACAAAATATCTCGAAAAAAATCCAGATGCAAATGATATTCAGTTGATAAAAATTACTATAGAATAATAATCGCGATCATAAATCATACACAATACCGATTTTCTATACCACAGTGCACTGAAACATTGGAGATTTTCAATTTTATAGTGCTTTTTCCGTCTTTCCAGAAGAATAACGGAAAGTAAAATTTCATCCCTGAATATTTTTGAATTTATAATTTCAAAAATGAGATCAAAAAATGAAATAGAATATAAATTATCAATGTTTTGCAACGATAAAGTTAAGTGCAAAGTGCTGTTGTTCTTTTCTTGCACTATTATAAAAAGTGTAAAGCATCAATTTTTTGGCATATACTATTAGATACAAATTATAATTTGTTGTGAAATAAAACGGTACGATTTCTACTAAATTCTGTAACATTTTTAATTCATTGCCTTAAAGAAAGCAAAAAGCGATGAAAAAAAATAGTATAAAGTGAGAAAATCATTCAAAATTAGCGAATATCACAAGAAAGTACTGTCCAAAAAAACATGCAATGATTTTGCTTATTCTAAATGCGTATTGAGGTGCTCAGTTGGCTGGTTTGTCCACTATTCATTTTTCGACTTCTTCATTGGTGGTTCACCGCTTACTGTGGGTAATGTCTGTGAAAAAGAAACTTTATTAAAATCAAAATTGATTTCAGCACTAATTATTCCAGGTTTATAAATTGGCAGTCTTAACATCCAGATGTAATTTTTAATCAAATTAAAATAGTCGTCGGAGCAACTTGCTTTTTATTCTCAAAGCCCAGTTAGTATTTACCAAAAATCCATTTTTTTTCATTCATTTTGAATAAAGTTAGTGTTCAATCTATTCATCAAAACTATTATAAACATATTATCCTAGATTTTGAAAGAATACTGTGTTTAAATATAGACTTCAAAACTAGAAAAATTTTTTTCACTGATTAGATGAAATCTCCAGAATCAATGCGAATTCCAATATTTGTTTTTCGTTCACCAACTTAATCTATTAAGCTTCATTTGGTATTAATCTAATAGAAGGTAAATAGAAAAGGTAGTTACTTTAAAAGATAAGCTAAATGCAGCAGTGCAGTGGAAAAATGTATATTTCTAGTAATTTCGAAGTGTATTTTTCTATTTTTAAGAGTAAGTAAGCTTACTGAGATCATTTATTTATATAGCAGTTAGATCACGGCACTTAATTAAAAATTGCACAACCGTACGCCACATGTCTACCGCATACAGTGCACGCAATAAACCTTTGAAACACAATTTCCATAAATGCACCCAATAGTTAGAGTAAAACAAATATTACTCTATTATTATTAATGATCAGGGCACGGATGCAGTAAGCGTCACGATTTCATAACGACAATAACAAAAGAAGTTAGTAAGCATTACGTTAAGACTGCGGTGACGGATTGGTTGATGGAGGAATTCCGTAAGCTGTGGACATCTGGAAATTACAAAGAGTTCAAATAACGGTTAATTGCGGAAACAGCTGAAAATGCAGAGGTAAATTTTTAGCTAAAGAATTAAGAAAATCCTATAAAAATTATAGATGGCACGGAGATAATGGGAATTCGTAGCAGCATGATCATGCAATCTACTGTTAATTTGAATTAGACTCAAATGTGAAAGGTTAATGCAAAACAATACCTCCTTTATATATAAACTTATATATTTTGGATAAGCTAAATTTAGCATTATAAACCGACATCTGCGAATCCGAAACTATTCAAAAACGGCTGCTGTGCAACCCAATTCATTTCCTTATCCTAAACTGTTCTTTAAAACCAAGTCGTGATGCTACCATGAATTTGATAGCCTGCTAATCTGAAAACCCCCATTCCTGCCGAAATACCATTACCTGTTTTAAATACAAACCAAAAACCGAGACAATTTCTAACCAGTAAATATGCAGATCAGTAAAACAAGATGTAAATAAATCTGCAGTTAGAAAGCCGATGCAATAATGGAAGACCCTCATTTTCACGAATAGTTTGCGATTTATTTTCATTTAAGGGAAGATACAAAGTTTTAAACAGCTAATTAAGGCGTTAATTATTAAGCATAAGCTGCGCAAACGAGAAAAGCATTTCTAATGCTATAGCTCGCTGAACGGACTATTCCGAGCCATTGGATGAATGACACCTACCAGCTGAGGATTATAACCGGCAGTGAAATCAAGACCAGCAGTCATGTGATGTGCCAGATCCTGTCCCGGAAGCATTGCTGGATAATTAAGCATACTTCCGGCTGCTGATGTTCCTGCTGCCAACATACCATATTGATTCGCAGCTATAAAATTTAATAATTGCAAATTTCAATTTTAAATTGGAAATGAGTGTTTCTAAATTTCAGATTAACTTCTGCAACTGATTTACTTTCAGGGGCTCCAAAAAATATATATATCCTTTCTTGAAGATTAGTTATAAATGAT